CAGCTCCACCTGCGCAACCCTCGTCACGTCCCGTCGCACGCCTCCGCCCTCAAACCACATCCCTTCTCTACTATTACTGTGATGTTCGATAAGGATATGAAAGTCAAGATGATAATCATGTTCGTTTCCTAAGTAACGTGTACTTAAACAAAGCAATACAATGACTCGGAAGCGTGACTACTCGGCGCGCCCTATTGCACAGTGGGGTTGCTCCCCGGCTAAAGCCCGGCGTAAATATCGTCTCTCCGCGACATCAACGTGTACCGCGAGGCCAAATGCGGAGCCCCACACGACCAGTATCACACTGACAATGCTTTGATGACAATGGATTATAATTTCTTAAATGCAAGTCTCTCTTTAGCCCGTTTGTATTATTTATAAGAATATGTATATTAAGTCATTACGCTGATTAACTTTTGCAAAAGAGATAATCAGGGAGCTATGAGGCGCTATGACGTCCCCGGGTTGGGGCAGAGGCGCCCGGCCTCCGCTTATCCTGCTAATTATACTTCGGCTTATTAATAGTTTCCTCTGTGCGGTGTTCGAGGCCGAGGTCGTTTACAGTTACTGGACGACGCGGGTTCTGCCGTACAACAAATAAAACAAATACACAGCAATAGTCTTTTGTGAGAACTTAATTTTGAATGACAACAAATGTGGCTGCACTTGTCACCGGCGACTGCACGCGGCGGAGACGAGCTAAATATACAACGGCCGTGGCCGGCGGGTGGCGGGTGTCGGGTGTCGGGCCGCGATACTGCCATAAAGCGAACGCATCAATATATCAATGAACACTTAACATTACTTCAATGGAAAGTTTTCCCGAGACAACGAGCCTCCTCGCTGACGACTACGGCACGAGAAGATTGTTATCAGTACATCCGTTGCCTCGTCTCTCGGCTGCGATCACTTGAGATACGGATTGCTAAAAATTGTAAAAGGCGGCGGTGCATTGACTCACAATTGTGTGCAGTGCCAACACTGGACACACGCTCGGACGTGGGAGGCAAAATCGGCTTAGGCATTTCGGAAATTTCATTAATATTGTTCCGGATAAGCGCGGTTTGGGGACAGATTTTTTTTATATTCGTTATTAGTAACGCAAATACATCATCTTCGCTAAATCTGGATTTTTTAGTCATTTTAATTTTATGTAATGTAAAGAGATATAGATAGATTGTAATAACGAAGTCGCGCATTATGGTGTTTCCGTGTGTTGTGAGCTCCGAGGGGCGCCGCTGGAAGTAGTGCGGGGGAGGAGGATAACTCAAACGGTTACTTGACGTCACTTCTACAAAGGTTTCAATCTAATTAAGGAAGAAGAATGTAGTACTTATCAGTAATTGAATGTGATTACTCCTTATGCAATGAGTAGAGGGCGCGGGAGGAGGGGCGGGGGAGGGTTGCAACAACGTCAGAGTGTGTGCATCATCGCACTGTATGAATCTGTCCACACTTGATATCACACACACCATTTCGATATTTAAGTTTGTTGAATATCGTTGGTGCAAATGATTTCCTAACTATGGATTTGTGATATTTAATCTGCAACGGACCGGGGAGCGGAGCGACACTCTCAGAGACAGTTAAAAGATTTGACTTTTAAATCGCAATATGTAACAAACGGCGGCCTCGCATTCGTCACACCTCGACCGTTGCAACAATTATGTTGTGTATTTGCGCTAACTGCGGCCCGCTCACTCGGCGGGATGATTTTATTATTTATACATTTATGGCAGCAAAATTATATGATTTCTAAGAGAATATTAAAAATGGTAGAGGTGATATAAATAGGTAATAGAGTAGAGAGAGGAAAGTGGGGCGCACCTGACGCTTGAAGACGGCGCGCTGCACGTGGGGCTCGGAGAAGTCCTTGGTGTAGTTGAGGCCGCACTCGCCGAGCGCCACGCACTCGGGCGCCGCCGCCACCTGCCGCAGCTCCGCCCACAGCTCCTCCTCCGCCATCGACTTGGCGTCGTGCGGGTGCACGCCTGCCCGCAGACAGACTTTTTACTTGGGTACAAAATGTATCTTAAAAAAAATTTGTAATATTAAATAAGTGGTAAGTGTATTATCAATAGCGGGAGAGCGGCCGAGTACAACCCGCCTCCCCTCCCTCCGACACACTGAGACATCACTGACATTATCTTTGGCAGATGACATGACAAGATAACACTCAAGAAATAAAATGCAACCTACTTTTCATCTGCCACTTGAATATACATATTGTATATGAATATAATTTTACTTTGATCCTCTTCTCTGCAAGTTACACGAGTATTCAATGACAAGCTAATTCGCCATAACATTTGTTAAAGCTGGTGACTGCATAAGATAGACCTAATATTTATAAACTGATCTCAATAACTATGACTTAATAAAAAATTTTCCTCCATCTAGAAAGAGGTTCTTAATTTTGGATTCTCATGAATGGACCACTTCAAAGTTTTACAGTTTCAATAGACACCTAGTTAAAATTATCAAACATTTTGTTGATTTTTAATTTATAGAGCCTTCAGTGTAGAAAACCAGTTGAAACTCAAGGAATGTGGTTCCTTCTCATTCCACCAATTGTGGACCCCCGTGGATCTCCTATGGATCCCAACCTGGAGCCCTCTGGGAATCAATGGTCTAGAATGATGGCTTCTATTGCTCATGACATCATAGTTCTGATAAAAGTGCAGGTTACATACAACTGCCAAATATACTAATTATTTGTTGCTTAACACTGCACAAATAATAACAAAGATTGGATGGTAGTTACAGTAATTAATTCCATTAATCCTCTGCAATGCAAACTTAACTACAAGGTAACATTAGTCATGCAGCCATCCTTGCCAGCCAACTTGATCAGATGTTTTGTCCAAACATTTATACATGGAAATATGTATTGAGTTAACACAAACTTGATCCTCAAGAATTATAATTTTCTGTCTAAATATTATTTAATCTGCAGTTACATAAACATAATAGACACAAGGCTACAGTAAGAGAAAGATAACGAATCAACTCACCCGCTGTAGAATAAATGGTGCCGGGGTACAATCGAGTCAGTCTTAGTGCCTCCTTGCTATTTCTCACTGATGTGCCTGTCACCATTATTTTCTGAACACCTGAAATTCAATATATTTATAATAGTAGTGTGGTATGTGCTGGGGCAACCAGATACAATTTGTATGATTAGACAGCTGGTGGCAGCGGGCAGCGGGCAGCGGGCATCAGGCACGCACGTCTACGTGTGGATGTCGACATACCGCAACGTAACTGCACGCGATGTTCATGCGAGCCTCTCTTCCCTAATGCAACATTGACACGCACCTGCATCTTTCGCCCTTTGTATTACTGAATCGAGATCGCGTCCATATTTTTTGTTTGTCAAATTAGCGCCGATGTCGATCACAATAAGATTTTCATAACAACCCTTCAGTTCCTCCGGAATCTGCGTTTCTTCAGACGTCATCCTTAAATTTTGTTTGAAGCTTATTGGTTCGGTGTTTACCTGTGATCGAACCAAATAATTAATACATACATATACAAATTACTATTCACTGGATTTAAAATAAACTTACAAATTGTATCAAACACTCCTGCTGAATAAGCTTCTTTAAATTCTAATGACTAGTAAAAATGAACACCCTCTTACTGAGCTGCCACCATGTTTTGAAGTAAGTTTTCTTCAAACTTCAGATTTCGTTATCAAGTTCACATTTTCTCATTTGTCCTCTGTTATAATCCAATAAAACGATAAGAAAATGTTATTTTTACCTAACATTCAGGTTTACTATTTGACAAAAAAATTACAACCTACATTTCATTCGCGGAAAATTAGTCATGTAATAGAGAACAAACATTTTAACGTTCCGTGTTAACTTAATCTAAAATTAAACTAATATCTCGTTATGTTTTCACCAAATTATACAAAATGTAGTAAAAATCTTAGCAAGTAATTCATTACGGTTTTTAAAATTTCTAATTGGAATGGTCTATTTCTTGTTAACGGTTCTCTCACTCAGCAGATTGGGCCAGTGTCAAGTGAATTGGAATGGTCAAACGTCCACAACACAAATTGACAATGACAATTATGACATTGACATTGACAGAATGAAATATTTGTTTTGAAGATAAATGTTTTGGAGTTAAATGTTATTTAAGGAAATATAACCTAAAATTGTATAGTTCTTAGTTTAGTTATCTTATCACTTAAGAACTTACAATGAATGTAAAAAAATTTTTTTCTAAAAATTTAGTTGTGATCGTCCTGGTCCCAGCTATTATCGGAGCACATTATGGCTGGGCTAAATTGCAAGGAATTGATTACCTTGTCAGTTCTGAAGATAGGAAAAAATTGCCTTTTGCATCGGTAAGGAGGATTTACTAAAATTTCTAATGAACTAAACTTTTAATAAACTAACTTACTTACCTCTTGCCAATTTGACAAAGGTAAATTACGTAAACATACATTCTTTATGTTACAATTTCTTAAAAATAAGGAAAGATCGAAGCGTGGTAATAAAGCAGAGGTTTTGTAATGAATCGCCAGAAAATAACGGCAGAATAATCAAATATTTTGTTTGACAGAATCATATTATTTATTAATAATAATTTTATTTCAGCTCTTCAAAAAGGACTAAAACAACTTAGATATGCTTAGGTGAAGATTGTTAAGTATTGTACATATTTAGATTAAAAAAACATCTTAGAAGGGATGATAGAAAGAATTAGCAGAGGTCTCACATTAACAGAGCAGATGATGCAGGATTCAAAAATAAAAGATAAAACTCATTTAATAATAAAGGATTTGAAGTAGTGAAGCAATGTTACAAAAACATGACAGAAGATATGCAATGAACCTGTGTTAAAATATATCTAACCAACTATATTTGTTTTATTTGATTTTCTATTTAGTTAACCCTTTCCTCAGTTTAAACATATTTTACAAATAAGTAATTGATTGCTATATGAAATGGTTTCTACCTTTATAAGAAACACAGAAAATAATGTCATAAGTGAAACATCACTATTATTTCCTAGATTAAAAAAACAATTAACATATTTCCTTTATCTTTCACTATTGATATAAATGTATGTAACAGAATCCTTTAATCAAATCATTGAAGCCCTTATGGCTAATCACCCTTGTAGAGGAGGCTGTAATAAATATTGTCACCATTTTATACCATTGACAAGTTTTGTGTGCGATTTCAGAAACCAACTTCACTTGTTTATATTATTGATGGCAGTTGTAATGAAAAGACATGCTTCTGCTGCATAATTTATTGCGTGTGCAAGTGCGGCGAGCCCGGGCCGGGGGCGGGGGCGGCAGCGGGCGGCGCGCGGCGTCAGATGGTGGGCAGGTGCGCGCGTTCGGGCGGCTTGTGGCGCGGCGCCGCGCGACCGCACGCCAGCGCCGGCAGCAGCGGCGACGACTGCACCTGCACAGTGCACCACACCAACACGCGCTCCGATACACACAAACAATTAATAACACAGTTTGTGCTTATACGTGGCCGGATTACGTATATAAACAAGGTTAAATCTACGTTCATAAGCCAATGTTTTAATCAAAATTCAGAATGTGACAAATTAGCTACAAACGGTTTTTTAATTCTAATATATTGACTACTTAGTATTGAATCTGTACGAAAATTGCTAACCGCAATATCGCAACACAAACATAGCGGAAGCCCAGTTTAATATAGCGGGTGTGGCACGTTCATTTCTTCTTGCTGCTTTTCTTTTTTTGTATACTCGCCGTGTCCTGCGAGTTCTGCTGCGAGGTGGTGGATTCCGATTGCCGCTTTGTCGACTGCTGCGAGGAAGGGTCGAGGTGAGGAGGGCGCGTTGGGTAAAAGGACTTTATGTCGAGGAGAAAACAAGGCAGGGAAAAGTTGTTATTATGTGACGTAGTGAATACCTGTCCCCGGCGCGCTTTTTCGTAGTCGTGGTGCGGGGGCGGCGGCACGCTGAACAGGAAGTTCTCGAAGAGTGCGTGCCGCAGCAGCTGCTCGCACGACCACCGCGACACCGGGTCTTTGTCCAGGCACTTCTACACACGACACGGCCATGCATTCTCTTAGCAATGTGAAGATTCCGTGTAGTCTTCAAAGTGTAACATACAGTACAATTATAGAATTTTGGCAAATCAAAAATTGACTAGAGAAATAATAGCGAATTTTACTTTTAAGAAGTCCATGAGCAGGTCGTTGTTGGCGCAGCGCTGCGGGATCCTGGTCTCGAGCGGCTGCAACTGCGCCGGCTCGGGCAGCGCCATACCCTGCAGACAACGCTCCGGCTCAGTTACAATAATACTCCTCGAGCTCTAGCGGCTTCGACCCCTAGGGTTTAAGGGTTACCTGGAAGAATGTATTCTGCGAGAAGATAGTCATATGCCGCGGCAGCAGGTCGCCCAGAGTGCAACGGATGAGGTGCAGCTGGTCCAGGTCGCTCTTGCCCGGCCACAGCGCCTCGCCCGACACCAGCTCCGCAAATACGCACCCTGCCAACGCCACAGACCCACACGCATATCTACACTTATTCGAGCAAAATAATAGGAGTAGCATTGGGTTTACAGCGAGAAACAATATTGCGCAATAACCGAGTTTAAGAAGTAAAAGTACCTGCGAGGTGCGACTCACCGATGGCCCAGACGTCGACGGGTGGGCCGTACATGGTGTCGCCGACGAGCAGTTCGGGCGCGCGGTACCAGCGCGTCGCCACGTAATCTGTGTAGCTCTCGCCGGGGCCTGGGCATGTGGACGCAGGGCCAGTCAGCTAACTACCTCACCACACTACAACTACAATTTCCATGATTCGTCGACAGGGAACGGGTACAAACGCACAGGCTAATGTGTTGCATGCAAACGCACTCATCATATTGTAGTTTAGCGTTTGCACCGCAAGCATATCACGCTACTGTGTAGATGTCATCGACGTCTGGGGCGCGCGATCATTTAACTAAACTAAAGGAATAACTGCCACAAATACTAAATAATGACAATGTAGTTTACTACAGGCAACTTATTATTAAATTTACACTTTTAGTACTTAAGTACGTACTACTAACTATTAATAAGAGCTCTATTTATTACAATATTTATGATATTGATAACTTATTACAGTCGGTATTGCTGCCGCGCCAGTTGGCGGGCATCGGCCGCGTGCCGTGAGTGCGGTGTGATATATACATAGGAGGGAGGGTTTATTTTATTATTATAAACAACAATCCGTTATACTAATTAAACTACTGCTAAATAATTAGATTTTGTTATAATATAGCAGAGTTGATATTTACTAGCTCTCTTCCGAACGTCCACGCCGAAGGGGATCATGGTGTGCACCGAGTACTCGGAGGAGCAGCCGCCACCTGGGGACGGCGCTCACTCAGGACTTAGGCAGATAAGACAAGGATAAAGGATTTGTATTGTTGGTCGGAGGTCGCGGTGATTTGGAAATCTGCTTGCCTATCGCGTCATAATAACATTTTGAATATCAATTACAATTTTAACCTTAAATAGGAGGGAATCGGGAATGGCGGGATAACTTTCGTCTCTGCAACTTGTATGCATGATCAGTATTTAACTAAACATAACAAATTTAAAGTGCGGAGTCGTGGGGTACGCACTGATCATCCGCGCGAAGCCGAAGTCGCACAGCTTGACTACGCCGTCGGCCGTCAGCAGGATGTTCTCGGGCTTGACGTCGCGGTGGATGCAGTTGTGCCGGTGGCAGTACGCCACGCCTTGTAGTGTCTGCCAGATTATCTGCTTTGACAGCAACTCGGGGCAGCCCTGCACACATTATCCTCTACGTGACCCTCGAGCGATGTCTTGTAATTGCTATGCTTCGCGATGAGATCGTTTTGTTTTTATAATAAAAATGTTTAATATTAGTTAGACTTTAGGTTTATGTGACTACGAGTAAATGGTGAAATTTAAGCAGTACCGTGCAGTGGTAGAATGTACACGTACACGGATTGGGACATTACACGCGGCCGCGGCCGCGGCAATAATTATTACACCATTTGTATGAAATATTATATGTGTGTATGTATTTACACACTTGCTTTTGCGTAATCTCCCCTTAAACTCGCGCACGCTAAAATATGGGTGGGCAGCTAAGGTATAAGATTTTTATAATGTAATATTCTTCGTAGTTTGTTGGTGGTTTGTGATTTATGTGTGTGGATCTGTCGAAGTTTAAGAAGCCTGACTAAGCGCTCTAAAAACACGTCTGATTAAATGTAACCCATACCATATAGCTCAGGCGTATTTTACCTCATAATGAGATGTTTTCCACAAGTTACACATTCTAGGACGTATAATAATTGTTTTAGTCTCAATGGCCTCGGCGAGCACAATCCCAGCCCCCATGGCTGCACCGCCCCTCCCGCTCGCCCGCCTCCGACCCTGACCTTCTGACATTTGCTACATCACGATAAAATTATAAATAGATGATGATAATGGGCTAAGCGTATCGGATTTCCTTAACAATCCATTACGTAAATGACTTCGGGTAAAAGCTTGCTCGCTGGTTCAGTTGCTTATTTACTTCGAAACTTTTATGTAAAGAACTTCTTAAAAACACGTGTAATAGATAATAGTAGTTAAGTAGGTAGTGTTTTGGTAGGTTACCTTTACCTATTTTCTTTTAGTTTTAATTACAAAAGTACCTAATTCGTTTGTTTCGTCGATAATGTACCTACTTATTTGCACCTTGAATACCGAACCAGAATCAGAAAACGAAGTAATTTACCCTATAATAGTGTTAGTTTCTAAACTCTTTGCCCTTTGGTATACATTTGGTTGGTAATGGCCTGACGGCCACAGTCCTAGCGACCTACGGGTCAAATATGTGCATGTGCATGCATGCATTTCACGCAATGTTAATCGGGCATTGTGATCAATGAGGCATAAGGGACAGCGGGAACCCAAAGTGGCTTTTTGTAGTTATGTATTATTCACAGGATATATTCATTTGGCTTAAAACTAACTAAATCCGCTATAAGCGATTTTAGCAAGTTTCTCGATGGATAATTTAAGTTAATATTCAAAACAAATTTAATATTCAGAAGTTATTCTCATAAATTTTAGAGTCATGTAAATGATGCTTAAAATCAGCATTTTGTTAACTTAATATATATTTCATTCGCGGTACAAAAATCTAGCACTCGTTATCGTTATTTAAATGAATAAATAGTTAGTTAATTATTAGTATAGAGTGCTATAATCTGTGTTAATAAGTTAGTTTTGTCGCGCAGCGTGCGGTCGAGTGGCGCGGCGGGCAAGCGGCAGGCGGCAGGCGGCCAGCAGGCCGGCGGGCAAGCGGGCCGAGGTGCGACGCGGCTTGTGCAATGCACCGAGCAACTTCATTAGCTTTTACAAACGCCTTCCCGAGCCCTGCTGTATCGGTGTTGCAATCAATGTTGCTTGTACGTCAGCGAGAGCCAAGGTGACTGCATTTTGAAACAACTCACAATTTGAAAAAATCTTGACAGTCGAATACTTACGAAATATGGTAATTAGTAATCGATTACCTATTTAAAAACGCGGTTTTGTATTTAACAGGTATAGTGGTTATGGGGTGGGGATGTGCGGGGTACCGACCGCGGGATACTTGTCCAGCTCGTGCAGCACGGTGTGGTCGCAATACTCGAACACGAGGTGCAGCTTGCGCTTGCGCCGGAACACCTCCAGCAGGTTCACCAGGTTCGGATGCTTCAGGTTCTGCCGCACAAACGTTACAAATTACATATTAAATGTCTAAACCTGACATATATTACTCTGCCATGTCTATCTAGAGCTCTTTAAATACTTAACTATCTACTAAAATACTGAACAAATCGTGAGCTGCAAGTGGCATGGCACTGAACGAGTTACATTAGAATTCGTTTCAAAACGATATACATATAACTACTTCTGTAAATAAAGAAAACAGGAAATTTCAAAAATGATATTTGTCGAAATGCCTCTTGTATTTCATTGTTTAAACATAGATACCAAGTTAAAATGATTAAAGTTAATTACGTTTACGCCACACTAATAATCAATGACAAACAAATTATGTAACTATTTAAAGAAAAAGTTAACGACACGATGGCCTTTGCTCTGAGCCCATCGCCTGCTCTGGATACATAAAGTACGAGTACGAAAATTTGGTCACACGCTTTTATATACTTACTAGTTACATTTCGTAATCAACAAACACGTAGAAACATAACGAATGATTGTTGAAAGTTAGAGAAACTCGTGTCTCACAGGGGTAAATTATCAGGACCGAGGCAACAAGAGGGCGATACTGATCGGGATGGAAATCACCTTGAGCATGCGTATCTCCCGCAGCGCGATCTTCCGGATGAGCGGGTCGTCGTCGTTCTCAAGAAACTTCTTGACGGCGACGAGGGCGCCGGTGTCGCGGTCTCGACATTTATACACCAACCCGTACGAGCCTTCTCCCAGTTTGGCCAGCTTCTCATAGCGCTCCATGGCGCGGCTGCTGGCTCGCGACCTGCGCCACGTACATATATCTATGTCCAATGCCATAACCCACATGAACAGTATCTATAGACATTCACATCACGAAGTTGTTTTACAGCTGTTACGTAAGTAAAAGGTGAGGTTTGACAAAAACATGAGGAGGAAGAAAGGAAACACCTCCGTACCCAGCGGCCGCGACCTCTGCCGACACGAGTGCGCGGTCCACGGGGCCGGACATCTCGCCCGACGCCTCACTGGAATTTCATCCACATGTCTGATAATTTCACAGAGTTTGAATCGAGCCGACAAACATAATCCGCTCGTTCGTATATTTTACAACACCGACTGACACCGAAAAGAAAACATTTACGTTTTTGTGTTTAGCTTACATCGAATGACAGAAGTTAGACAGACTTTTCATTTATTTTTCTTCGGCGGAGGCTACAGATACTAAAATGTTATTATAAAAATGATACTGATTTATTATTTAAATCTCGTTTTCTGCCACCGTTCTATTTTATCACTCGAACATGCCCGCAGCACTTGACCTCGACTCTACAGCTTTTAGGTGTGAGGGTCGGCTTCGAGAGAGTAAGACATCGGTACGGTCTTTGGGTACTTTAGGTAAAGTTATTCATCTGTGGGATAAGACTGTAGCGCACAGTCTACAGGTATATCAAGTACAGCATACATACAATAACCGCCAGGAGGCAACTTTTACCTTATTACTAAATGTTCCACCTTACAAGTTTGTCAATAATAGAACTCATGAAAGGTCATTACTTGAGTATATATTACTTTTACCTTCGACAACACCAACTTGCAACACATTACTTACACCTCATGACGTCAAATAAAGGTCGGCTCACTTTTATTTTCTCCATTATTCTCCATTTACTGGTTCACTTCCAAGTGTCTTACCTCCTCGGCAGCAGCGGCAGGTTGTTGCCGAACAGCCAGAGACGTTTATCACCGAACCATTTCTCCATGCAGGACGCCACGTTGTTCCACAGCTTGTACGTCGGGAGCTCCCGTCGCTCAGCGAGGTACTTCATTCGCGTCGGAGGACGCGCGGCCGCATTCCCGCCTAAAGCTACCTCAAAAGTAAGTAGCAGCAGATTGCGTAAACTATTTGATGGCAGAGAAGCGCTACTCGCGAAAGCCACCTCAGTAATACGTAGCACCGAAGTAATATCGATCGTCGGTTTGTTTACACGTTTGTGTCCGCCTGTGTACATGACAACCGCCGCTGCCGCCGCCGCCGCCGCCGACGCCGCTGCCGCCGGATCTCCTCAAGCCCATGTCGCTCTCTAATCTGTCAATAAATATTGATGTGCCGTAGCTTAGTGTAAAGGCACAGCGAACATTTGTAAATTATGTAACTTGTTATTAAACCATGTAAACTTTTGTTCAAATAATTTGGTAGTTGCTATTCTAAAATTGATTAAAATCATATATCGATTATGAATACTGTTTGTATTGTGCCTAGACACATTGTAAGTACATCCGTGGTGCAAAACACTCTAATATACACGTAGTGGATGCAAGCTATAACGTTGTCTAAAATCGAAAACTATGCATGTATTCCATATACCATCTTGTACGGGCGTCGTCAGGTACAGCTGCCCGTCCTTACAATCTTTTTTTTATATAAGAGAAGGGGTAAACGAGCGGCGGGACTCTGAGGTGGTCAAGGACGCCCATTGACATCCGCACCAGAGGAAATTGTAGGCTCGCTTCTTTAAGGATCCTAAGTCGTACTGGTTTGGAAATACCGCCGAGGACAGACCACAATGTGGCTTTGTTGGGCAAAAAGTTTCGAGAAAACCGCACGGGTTTGGAAAGCCAGCCATCGAGATGGGGAGGATGATACCTGGCGGTCTGTCGTGCCATCTGATGACGAAATTCGGCGCCAGGAATCTTTGCAAACTGCTTGATATAAAAACTACTTTGAATTAAACGTTTTTATAAAAGCTGTCTGCTGCTGGATTATCGGATGGGGGCGCCAATGTGTACTCGTAATTGTTTATTTCAGGTACCACTAGTTTAACAATGTCCATGTTCTTTTCTCTTCTTGACTGCATTCTGACTTAAAAGCGTCTGTTGATGTTTTTAATAGAAAATTGTATCTAAGTAAAAATCAGTCAGCACCAAAATGATGAAAATCAAATAGGCACAAAATGGTACGTCCTATAGCCTATCCGTTTATAGAGATTACTGTACAAGAGGACTGGAATTTATCTGTTTCCTTTTGAAAATCATTGCTACTACAGAAGTAAAAAGGCTCTACAAAGTCGGCTTTTTTATTGTTTATTTTATATACGAAACGTATTATTCGATTCTCAACATTTTGGCGCTAGCAGCGGTAGTGTTGGAAAATAGAATTAGTAATAGAGATGGGACAATGAAATTTACTTATCGATAACGATAATTAATATTATTTTATACACACCTGTTATAAGAATTTTATAATTTTATATATTTATGGTTTCTATTCTACATAACAACTACACATAATAAAAAATCTTATTAAATACAAAATACAAATAAAATAAAATAAAATGAACATTCTAGACTACAATGTTCACCTAAACATGTCGATAAGTACTTACGTAATGGAATATTTCTATTGCGTTTTCCTATTTCGTCAAAAAAGTTTAAAAAAAAAATCAATTATCACGGCCCCTACGTGGATTGCTCCAAATCGGCACAAAAATACCTAGGTGTCATTTCCAAAAAAGCAGTCTGTCTATAGTGTTTATGTCTATGGACATATAGAGGTCGACAGGTGATCGTTGATGAGATGACACGACCGCTCTGACTCTCTCTCTCGCTCGTCCCTCGTCCTCTTCGTCCTCGTCCCATTCTGTCAAATAACTTCGTTCAGTGATCGCGTATATTTCGTCGTCAGCTATTTGGATCAATGATATTGTATTTGTTATGATCAGTGATCATACGTCGAATAACAACATCGACGGCTAGATACGATCGGATAAAGACAAGGTTAAAGTGACGGTGGCCAAGTGTTGTTGCGTAAATAATTGAGCAACCGGCGGTCGTATCCACGACGAAATGAACCGCTTTTTGCAAAATAGTCTAGATAAAGTCTAGAGTGGTGTGTGCCAGTGCGGGACCGATGCGTATTTTACGCCCTTGCTTTATTTTATTGCTATTTGGTGATCCAGAGTGACAATCATGGGGTCCACGGGGCTGACTTTGGCAGATTTACCAAACATTTTTATAATGCTAGGCGCCCTCGTTGCTTTGTTCGTGATGCTAGTCATACTTCTTAGGTGAGTTTGATAACAGTGTCTGTGATAACTACGTGTACTTCCTTACAAATATGTCTAATGCCTACTTGTTTCGTTATCTGCATTGTACATCACTAAGAAATGAGAAAGATAATAATAATAGCTCTGCGTTGTTTACTCAGCTGATGTTATTGCTGTGTCAGTGTTGGCTGGATGGCCAGCTTGTGCTGTGTGTGATGCAACATGCTATGTGCCTTATCTGTCACATCATTGTTAAGTGATAACACATATTATTTTTATTAAAAAAAATAATTAAAAACCTATATAGAATCTAATAAGAAAAAGATCAACCAAGTACAGGAGGAAGAATTATAACTTGCATTGGATTAAATATATGTTTTTGTTTGAATCACCGACATAGTGAATCTGCTTTTTTTGTCAAGTCTCAACAAGATGATTTCTAATTTCCTACTTCACTTAGATAAAATATTATTTATCATCTGTTGTTACATAGAAATAATTAATAAAAAGTTTAATTGAGATACATGACAAATATATATGTTCTTATGGTTATCTGTCCTATGTCCATCCCTGAATCCAAATCAGCTGCACTCAATGTAATCAGGCAATTACTTTGATATCTGAAATATATGGTATATGTACAAGTGCTGAGAGTGAGTACTGTGTTCATAAATTATGCATATTGATAGATAGCCTCTACATACACATTGTAAGTCACAATTTTCTGGTTTACTCCTTGTTTTATTTATTTATTCATTAAATACATGAAATAATTATTTCATTTTATCAAACATTCACAAGAACACCCACATGTTAAATAAACATAAAAAACGTACATAATATCAATACAAATGTTACAGATACATACTGACTTTTAAAACATCAAACTTACAATATTTATAATCCAAAAGTATACAAGAGCTATATAAATCACGGCGTTTTAAACTTAAAATACAAGAAATCTACATATGACTCAAGTTCCAACTTCCCTTATATGTATATATTTTATATATTTTATTTACAACACAAATATTACAATAAATGATAATTTTAAACAAAATTTGCATATTTGTATAAATTAGGCTAAGGATCAACTTTATGCTGTTAATCTGTTGATATTAAACCTTCAATTAAACACTAAAAAAATCCTCTATACTATAAACTTCTCCTTCAAGCAGTAGATGAAAAAGCCCTGTCCTAAATTTTCTGAAGTTCAACAATTTATGTTTTTTTTTAAACTTAACAAATACTAGGTTTGTGTAAATAACATAAAACAGAAGAGTGTAGGGAGTGTGTATAGTATTAATTTAGAAAAAAGTTCTTGCAAAATTTGAATTTCAAACATATGACAGTTTACATAGGCCATTGATATGAACAGCTGTTCCCACTTAAACTATAAGAGATGTTTCTATTAAAATTTCTCATAACATTACTATATATTAAATATTTGTACCCCCTTACTGATGACTAGTTATCCTGTGTCAAGAGATAAGCTACCTCTTTGGTACTAATCTAATCTTATTTCTTACTACTATTATAAATGTCAAAATTTAAATGGATGGACGGATGTTTGTTAGAGTTTGTACCCTAAACCGCTGAACAGATCTTGATGAAATTTGGCTTAGATGTAGAGGATAGTTGGGAAGAACATGTAGCCCACTTACTTTTGTTTTTTTATATTCCCAAGAGCAAAATCTAGTTATTTATAATAATACAAAGAACACCATGCAGTAATAGCATAGCGGGACTATCTAGTTATGTGACCAGTATGAAGCTGTTACACAAAGGTTATATGGGAAATCAACTTTTGCAGAGTATGGGAACTTGCATGTGGTGTGCACCAAGCATCATTAGACACGGTGGTCTCTTATTTTATTATATCAGTAAAAATTATGAAAACTATTCAGTTCACATAGATAATGTGGCATATTCAAACTTTCTAAATTACAGTTTATTAGTTTGTATAGACAAATGGAATCTAACTATTGTATTTCTAAAATCTGGTACAAACTTTAAATGAAACTATTTTGAATATTGAAACACACATATTTTCCTTGTTTGTATCTCAAATGTTGGATATTGTTTAATTTTTATTATCTGCATCTAACATGCTTAATGTTTCTTTAGTGGATTAATTAAGACAAAATATTTTTGCACAACAGGGTTGTTCAAGGAGTTTTTACATGGTTTTATGTCTCAAGCTATTAGAAAAAAAGAAAGAATTTAATGGAGACATGTGTATTGGTATATGTACAGATAAAGACATAAAATAAGATGGACATTGGCAATGTGTTCTAATTTCAAATAATTTAAAAATAATTTTACTTCTAAATCTTTTACGATATTCATTTTGGTCCTTCGAGCCGGAAGTCTTTTTCATATCTGAATAGTTTTATCTTTTCATAGATCAGGATAAATCTAGTTTTGAAAAACTACATTATAATTAAAAACTTAGGCTAATACAAAAGTAAACACACAATAGTAAAAGCAATATGCACTTTTATGTATGACATTGACCTTTACCAGTGTCAATGTTAATGAACATGTCATTCCATAGGTGTGTCTAAAGTGCATAAAATACCTCTTTCATCTTATAAATACTCATTTTATTTGTATATTTTAATATACTAACCTGCTGTAATTAAGTAAAAGGAAATAATTCTTGTACCCCAGGGAGTACACTGTCTGTGAAGACTCAGATGACAGGAGCTATGTTCAAGTAATTGATGCATCCTGCGCCCTCCTCCCCTCTTCCGGGTGCTCTCGACCCGCCAGTCTAGACGCATTAGTTGCTCCTAATGTTGTAATGTCTTTTGTCATTCTATCTTTTAATTAACTAAACTTAAGACATGTATTGTATAAAAATAACTCAGTCTCGTTTATTATTACTTATAAAATTTAAATTCTACATTTATGAAAGAAAGTCCTAAATTGTGACGTATACCTTGCGGCATAACTTCGATAGCCATTGCAATTCTTAGAACAGGTATTTTTGTAGCAAATGCATTAAAGAGGTGCAGCAAGTCCACTCCCGCCGCTAGACTCCAAAAATAGATACAAAAAGTACTATGCATATCACCATATTAATGATGGGCTGCCCGGCAGACCCACATCTTTAGCTGACGACGCCAGCAGTCTGTTATAAAAATATAGACATGTACTTATTCTGCACTCAATTGTTTTCCGGAAGAAAAATGTTAGGCGTAGTTGCATCACCGGAAGCAGCTAATTACACTGGAACTTATGATGTTAGTTAACGAATCGACCGGGACTTCCGCATGCACAGCAGCCGTGCGCCGACTGTTCAACATGTATGCACCAACTAAGCAAAAGTAATATTCGTAGAGTGTAGTCAATTATTTTATTATTATTTCCATACTATTAGATCATTAGAGTTTGGTTGACCTTAGATTAAAATAATTTTTTGCACTACAACCTTGTTTTTATGCAGATTTTTATTCTGCAATAGGCACGGTAAGAATGTATGCGATTGCGAATTCGCGAAGAAATTTTTACGTTACAGAAACAAACAATCTAGCCTGGCCTAAGTCTTAGTTACGAACATCTTAATTTGTCCCTCCGTACAATAAGCAGAGTCCTTTTAACGTTTATTTTATTGACAATTTAGTTTATTCATAAAACAAAGTACAAAAACATTTTGTGTGAAAGGCGCTTGCAGCGGGTTGACATGTGCGCCTAATTAGCAAAGACAAAGCACGTCGTTTGTGACAAGACGAGGCGGTAGGACAAAGGATATTGTGATAGCGGGATCGTGCGGCAACGTGTCACGCTATCGCCGTCATTACTGCAGTCACAGAACTGAGGATACCCGAAGCGGAAAGCAAGTGGGGTTCCTTGTTATTTTTTATTTTACACGTGCAACAATTATTGTTTGTATAAACTTGTTCGCAATAATGAGGTCTCCGGTCCTTGCAAACGGCATGTAGTTCCCATGCCTCGTGTGCTGAATGCCAGGCTCGCGATCGTTCTCGAGCGAATAAAGGACAGCGCAATCATATTGTAGGCTCACACACCACCGAATTGCATATAGATGATGCATGCAATGTATTTTATATCAAGGAGAAAACTTATTAACTACGAATCAAACGGCGCAGTTGGGAGTCCTTACTCGTTCGTTGGTTCCTGGAGTACTCTATATTGGGGCTATTATCAGTATCGGTGGCAGATGTTAAATATGTTTCGTGCAGTAACCAAGGTGTGTACTGTTCTATTCAGGAACATGGAAGTGATCGGCATAGTGGGCGAGGGCGGCGCTGGCGGCGAGGCGCGCGGGCGGGCGTGGGCGCGCAGCATGCCGCCGCCGCGCGTGCTCATGCAGCGCGTGCACATACCCTTTACCTTCAAGCTGGTCGAGAACCTGCCCGTCTCCTACTCGGGTGAGCAACATCTTCACTTCTTCTCACGGTTTTATACGAACCTGTTTTGCACTTTTTTTCGACATATGACGACTAAAACTATGTATGACTGTTTTGGCTTCGGGGTCACTATACTCGGGTAAACTCAATCTGAATTCGAACCTTGATAGTAACTAGCGGTTTCCGTCTACGGTGTGAGTGTGCCGGAGGAAAGTTGATGACGTAATGTTTTATATTATACTGTGGGATCTGAAGGGTGAGGTGGCGAGGGTCACTGGCTGGTCTCCGAGGGCGGTCGGCAGATCACAGCTGCGGTCGGCCGCAGCGGAGTGTTGCAACACCGCGCGGCATTAATTCAGCACACGCGCCGCGTGAACTTGAAACAGCTCACGTCGCTCGCTCGCTCGTTTGAATACCAAAATAATAGTTAATCATCATTAAAGATTACGATGAAGGTTAAGTGTAACTTAGTGTTGGTATAATAGCTCGCTTTTTAAACATATCGCTTACCTGCTGGATAATCTACGATAATTACGAACAATCTTTTATATAAAATAGATTGTAGATATTAGAAGGAAACCGAAACGATAATAGGATATGCGAAAACAAATCCTCTTGTAGTTAGGTACTGGCGCGAGCTCCGGCAGATCTATGTCCTCTCTAGCAACGACCGAACATAGCGTACCTCAATTTCATTTAAAAATTATCACTATTGTAGCAAACAAACACTTAACGCGGTCAGTGTGCCAAATTTTCACTCTTTAAACTATAAGACAAAAATATAAAGCGATTTTTATAATAACTGTCGTTAGTATGTCGGCGAGCTCGCTGGTAGCCTTCAGCTTGCAGGAAGGAAAGTGCTTGCGAGAAACATCGGAGCGAGCACTAAAACCAACTAATAAGTACTTATTATGTGTGTTTTATTTTTTAAGAGAATTTCAGGCCGGTTAAAAATAAAATTATGACATCCGATTGTTTTCTAGCCTGGTAACGTTTGTAAGGAAACCAGTTTGCGTGTGTTTTGAGTAGGCGCGAGGCGAACATCGCCGCACAGTTACGTCGATACCGTTACCTTTTGGCGAGCGTTTGACCCAAAAGAAAAGCAACGCCTTCACCTACTGCTCTACTCACCGATCCGTGTCGGCAAACATCATAATACATTTGATCCAACAAATTATATTGATCTAATCTGCACATGACGCATTGATTGCTGATATTGCAGGCGTGGAGTGCGTGGTGTCGTCGCGAGTGCGCTACTGGCGCGCTAGCTGGTGGGGCGCGCCAGTGCGCGAGCTGCACCTCGCGCTCTGGGCCGCGCTGCCGGACATCCTCGCCAGCGACCACCTCACCTTCGAAAAGTGAGTGCCCTTCCCTTCCTTACCAGGTCTTATTGGAATTTTAGATATTTCATCCGCAAGAGTTTCTGTAAGGGCAGTAGATGCTCTGTGGCAACTGGGTATATCAGCGTGACGCGTTCTCATATTCCCTTCATTGCGTCATGCTTACGTCACCGCGTCTTCGGCGCAACTTCCCACCGCGAGTCACGGGAAAATCACTGGGTGCGATGGACGACTTTTACACAAGACGCAGCTATCATTATTTAGTACAATATGATGATGATAAAGTTAATGATATAGGTAATGCTATAAACTATGTTAAGACCTAGGAACCTGACGGCGTGCGCCTGCGCACCTACTGGCTCCATATTTATGTTTGCAAACAGTAATTTGAGCAGTTTGCGGTGAAGCCAGCACTTGTTGGTAAGACTCAGCGGCGCTGCTAAGACAAGTTGCTTGGGGGAAAAGGGGTCTTAGAAAAATGGGCATGAAAAATGTCAAAGGGCGCGGCGGCGGGCGATCCGTCAAGGTCATCCTGTACGTCTTACCGCTTTGTGATAGTAAATGAGTCTTAATGGACCTGAATAATGTTAAATTTCATTTGCATTATTTAGCTTACATTTGCAATAAATACGCAAATGATTTAATCGTCCCATGTCATTAAAAGTTTTAAATAATTACCTTTGATAGTTTTTTTTAGCGCGGAACACTTTTGATATAAAACTTTGTATACTTTCTGCTAAATAATCAACTTTGCGTAATAACTATAACCGTAAATTTGCTTTATAATTTATAGTATGAATCGTCAAGTAAAAAATTGATAAAACAAATTTAATAATTATTTGAACCAACACAACGATCCAAAAACGTTCAGCAAATATTGAGGTAGATTCGCGCGGCGCCGACCTCGAGCCTCGCGCCGTCGCCCACCGCCACA